TACCTTGTTGGGTGTACTGCCTAAAAAAATATTCTTTATTCAGCCTTGGAGTGTGGTTCTGCCCAGAGGGTCATTAAAGCATGGGGACCTAAACAATAGCAGCTTCTCTTGGGGTATGCATTTTATATGCATCACTGTGATGTTTTGGAGTGTATTCTCAGCACCCCTCAAACTGTGACCAAGCTGTCAACAACAGCTCATGGTCAACTACTGATAATCAAGAGCAGATGAGTGAGTCTCCTGTTGATGTCAGCGCTGTGCAGCCAATAATTTTTGTTAAAATTCTATTAAACCCTCATTGTATAAAAAAAAGTCTCCTTTGGTATAACCATTTGTCCTCCAGAAGATTTATCCCTCTTCCTGACCAGGCCATTTTTCTTCTGTGCTATTTTAACTGACAATTGTGCGGTCATGCAATGCTGTACCCAAATTAAATTTGTCTTTTTTTTCCCATAAATAGAACTTTATTTTGGGGTATTTGATCATCTCTGCGGTTTTTACTTTTGGTGCTATAAACAAAAATATACTAATAAAAATTTTGAAAAAATTTATATTTTTTATTTTCTGCTATAAAACATATTGAATTAAAAAAAATTAAAAAATCTAATTTCTTTATAAATTTAGGCCAAAAAAAAATTTTTGGTAAAAAATAAAATAAATAAAACTGCTTTAGGGCGGATATTTTGTTACATTTACTGAAATACTATCTAGGGGCCATGTCAACAAGTGTTGTTTTTCTGCATTTGAGGTGCTTTTGGAACAGACATCAAATACAGCTCAGCTAAAACTTTTTGACAAAATCCTTTGAGCAGCACATGGTGAAGTTCAGAGGCTCTGTTTGACCTGCTTTGTGTTGCAGTGTCTTTCTTTGGATTCAGCAAGTCCTATTGGGTTGCTTTTGAATGCAGAATTTTCTTGACAAATGCTGCGTTTGACATTTAAATGTATTCATTTTAATAGCAGATGCAGCAATTAAAAAGAACACCCATTGGCATCAGTCTTTGGCAGTATATTGCCCTAAATACTTACATTTGCTTGCTGAAACTTTTTACAGCCCCTTCCCTTCTTGTGGCACTTTGCAAAACTTTCATATGTTGCTATGTGCTTCCTACCCCTAGCTACAAATTCAGATTGGGCACCTTGCTCTATCCATGCATCCACCTAAAATAGTAGATAGAAAGGATATGGCTGCTTCATAATGGGCACTTGTCTCAGTCCCAAGCATTTTTCTGAGACAAGCGATGGTAAGGAGGAAGCAGAGGGAGTGGAGGAGTGTCAACCTTGCACCCTTCTTCATTTCTTTGCTGCCACTTGTCTGGAAAAGGTGTTTGAACCAAGACAAGCAGCCATTATGAAGCAGATATCTCTTTCCCAGTTATGTTGTCAGACGGCTGCTAGGGGAGAGGATGGTTGCCCAGTCCAACCTCATAGATAGCATTAGGAAGCACCATGGCACAATGTCTACATGTACTTTGTCCCACGTAGGACAGAACAATGAAAAAAATATTTCATCCAAGGGCAACATTTTTTTTTCGTTTTGGTTACAGTAAAAAGGGATTAGAACACCTGTCAGGTTTTTATTGCTGCCTGTCTCCCCATTAGAGAAATTCACCTCCTCTATATGTCCTGGTGACTGTTATCACTGCAAATGAGAGTGAAAGAAAATTGAATTTTAAGCTGTCACCAGAATGGGGAAAACTTCCAATTGGGACACCTGGTCTGGTGACCTGATAACAACCAGGGATTCCGTCAATACGGAGACATTTCCCATCACTTCCTGTTATGGCTAAGATGGGACAAATGGGACAAAGAAGGCAAAAAAAAACTGACAAGGGTTAAAAAAACCTCCATAATTTTCTCCAAAATAACAAAAAAACCCTTTGACTGCAGTCCTTTACTTGAAATAGAAATGAAAACAGCAGAGTTTAGTTTTACTTTAAAGAGGATTTATAAAGGAAGAATCTGAGCTTAAACAGGATGGAAAGAGGCTCAAAATGGAATGAGCAAGGCTTACATAAGGCAGGTAAGGGTCAATGTGACAGATCTTAAACATTAGGCAAGGCTTAAATGAGATGGAATTACACTTAACTAGGATGATGGGACAAAACATATTGACACCTCAAAATATAGTACAAATTTCATCAATACAAAGGCGTATTTTTCATCCAGCGATCCATGTGGCTTCCAAATGCAGAAAGCAATTCAAATTAGAATGCTCACCTTATTAAACTAATCCCTCACCAGCCCTCACCATGTTTAAAATAACAAGAGTTTGGAATGTTAATATTCTATGCAATGTTTAATGAGTAGCATCGAACTGTCTCTAGGGTCTTCATTCTCCTTTCCCCAGTCTGGAGGCTTTTGTCAGTTCGTTCAGTTTGTGTGAGCTGTAATTATGTAGCTGTACTTTACATAGCACACGTGTAGCCCACTTCATCATAGCCAAGGTCAGTCCTATGGAAGGATGAATTCTGAATTAATAAGTATGGAACTTGCCTAAGATCTCTTGAGTTTTATGGAGAACAATTGGCTAGAGAAGGACCTGACCATCACTCAGTTTAAACTCTGTCTTTTAACCTTAGAAAAATAAAAACATAGATCAAGCTTTCTCAACCAGGATGCCATGGAACCCTAAAGGTTCTCCATAGGTTGGTAGTTGTTCCATGAGCAGTGAGCAAGGACAGATTCATGTGCCACCTACAATGACTACCAAAGTAAGGGGGCAATTTCCCACTGACATGCAATATAAAGGGTGACCTCTACACTGATCACCAGTGCAAGGAGACTTTTCTTCACTGACACACACCATATGCCAGGAGATTTGTACTTGTAGTCCTTAAATCTGCTCTAATCATCTATGAAAATTTCAGTTCGAGCTTGGCCTGTTTCCTTCTCCTCTAGATATATTTCAAAACTGCAGAATGAGAAGCTGAGAATCCACAAAGTTGGAACTCTTGCTTAGAACTTGCCACCTTTTGGAATTAAAGAGTATGTAACCCCATCATGTCATATTCTTGATATGTGTGAAATATCTAGTGATCCTGTCGGTCCTCCTGCTTTCCTAGTACAAACTGAAAATGCCAGAAATGGAAGCCCATCTATCCCAGTTTTCTTACTTGCATTCTACTTGGGAGTGCATTCTACTTGCCTGTACTCTAGTGCTCAGACTTCTGCTGACACGCCCCCCCCCCCCATAACCCCACAGATTATCACTGGGAAGATCAGTGTACTGCTGTTCATCTGCCTCCTGCTGAAAATCCCCATGCAATCTCCATACTCAGCTCTCTAAGTCCTTATGTAGCTGAGGACAGAGGTCATGTGATCATGTAATAAAAAAAGGTAAAATATATATATATATATATATTTATTTATTTTAATATGTGCACTAATGTTTTTCTTGCATTTCTATTTTAAACTTAATGGGTTTTATACAAGTTTAGGGTTTACACACACTTTAAAGTGTTACTACAGTAATGCACAACAGTAAAATCAGTCTGTATATGCATTAAAGCATGCTTGTTATACTCACTGTGGAACCTAAGGGGTTAAACCTCCGCATGTGTAAAAAAGATGTTTAATCCTGTCTTCTTTGATCCTCCCCTTCTTTCACAGTCCCCAATCCATCTGCTGATAGTACAGAGCCCTAGGAGACACTCTGCACATGCTCAGTTTGGTGTGCATTGCTAGAGAGTTTTTTTTTCTTTGGGAGGGTGCATTTGATCAGCACAGGGCCAATCAGCGCTGTCCAGACAGAGGGTCAGGGGTCATGATGCCTCATAGGACAGTCAGAGGGGAATGAAAATTTAGCCTACAAGATTAACCAGTGCTCAGCTGGACACTGAGAGAAGTCACAAGACTATATATTGCGGATGAGAATAGGTATTTAGCAGTTTTTATTTACCAAAATAATTCCATTTCCGTGTTCTATGTACTGTGGAAGACCAAATATTATGAATGCAGGGTCCTGGGTTTGGTAACACTTTAAGTGGGAAATAGGAAGTATTAGACAGAAACATACATTTATTCTTAATTCCTGTTTTTAAATGGTAATCAATCAATCAAGCAATCAAAATTACATTCCCAAAATTGAGTTTCCTTAGGGGATTAGAGAATACTATTATATATTCACTAACTTCAATTATATGTACATCAAAATGATTGCTATCTTAGTATAAAATTATTGACTATTTAAAAACACCTAAAAACTGCATGGTGCTGCATATTTATCTATTAATATATCCAACGATTTAGCATTTCCTTTTGGAATGAAGGTATTCTGAAATTATCTCACACTTTTGTCATATGGTACAGTAGAAACAGTTTACACGTATGTCATGACTAAAGGGAATAAACACATGTTTACATGTGAATATAATATATAATTATGGTCCTAAAAATAAATAGAAGCAAAATAACCCACACTCACGCTATTTACTAAAACTGATGAAAGTGATTCTCTTCGCATCTTAGTAAACTTGCAAGCACAAAACCTTGGTTGGCTATTGGATACTGAAACATGGCTAGAGACATGGCTAGAACATATATAGATATATACAAAAATATATATAATATATATATATATATATATATATACAAAAAAAAGAAATAAATAGAATTATCTGAGAGAACAGTCTCTCTTTCTATGTGATCTACACCGATCAGCCCTAACTTTATGACCACCCACCTAATATTCACTAGGTTTCCATTTTTCTGCCAAAACAGCCCTGTCCTGTCATGACATGAATGCTTCTAGACCTCTGAAGGTATTCTGTGATACAGTATCTGGCACCAAGCCATCAGTAGTAGAACCTTTAAGTCCTGTAAGTTAAGAAGTGGAGCCTTCATGGATTAGACTTGTTTTTCCAGCACATCCCACAGATGATCGATGGAATGAGATCTGGGGATTTTGGAGGCCATATCAACACCTCAAACTCATTGTTGTATTCCTCAAACTATTCTTAACCCCCTTAGCGGTTTTCCCGAGTGTAGTTCGGGGTAAAATTTCAATACCAAGAGCGGTAACCCCGAGCTACACTTGGGCTTACCATGCGGCGTTGCTCAGGGAGTCCCTGTAGCACTTACTTTGTCCTTTGCTCCCGCTATGTGTCCCCTGCAGCGTCCCTGGCCATCTCCTCCGGCCGATGCCGGCATCCGGCTTCCGTGTTCTGGTCCCTGTGACGTCGGGACGTACGGGCGCTGGAACCGGCGGGAAATTTGAAATTTTTAAAAAATGTCATTTTTGCTGTCATTTGCTGAGTGGTATCAGCCCCTTTAAGAATCAATAGCCAAGTGACTTTAGTAGCAATATGACTTACGGAGCTCTAGCTTCCCTTGGGTGAACTCTCGCAAAGTCCCAATAGTTGGTGAGGAAATTCCATCCCACCTGGTTGCTTTGCAAGTGTCCCAGGGCAAGGGATTAGGTTAGTTGTGATACTGTCCCCGTGAAAGCATGCTGAATATTGCATCTGGCAGCCTTCTCCCTTATAGGCCCTAGTGGTGTAAATGTACTCACTCTGTCTCTTGTATCCTGCGGATTGGATATAGGACTTTTGGTGCAGTTCCCTCTATCTAAACATCTTCTCCTTGCTCTTCAGCTCCAGTCTGGAGGCAGAGCCCTCCTTCCCTGGGGTCCCCTCCCAGACCTCATGATCCTCAACATCCATCTTCCACCCGATCATCAGACTCTTCTGCTGGCCAGCTCTCTCATATTTATGGGCCCATCTGCTTCACTGCCAGGCCTCCTGCCTAAGGTTGGTCAGACTCCCATGAATATGCAAACTTTGTTCTCCACTTTCGCCCACTAAATTTTAGAATCATCTGGGAGAGTCCAGAATCAGGGGGAGGTGCCAGAGACTTGACCTGTAGAGCCCTTCAGCCTGACCCAAAGTAATCCAAACAGACATGCTCACTGCACTACTGTGAGCCAAGCTAAATTTAACTCTCTAGCACCCCAAAATGCGCTACACTATAAAAGACTATCACAAGGACAGAAAATGAGGTGAAGTATTCCCAACAGGATCAGGAACAGCATTTAAACTTGAAAGAAGTATTTCATAATCCCAAGTCTACCTAATAATAATATAAGAGAGGAAATGCAATATAACTAAGAAGTAGTTAAAGAGCAATTAGCAATGTGATATAGGTGAATTTGGCTTTTAGAAGGCCGATACCCTTTGCTCACCAAGGTATCTATCTTTACGCATACTGTACAGCAAAATGCGATCATGTAATTCATCCAGAGAGCCCTAGACATTTCAGTCTAAGAAGCATTTTCTATTGACCAGTAAAGACTTGGAAGCTAAGTAGGCCGTTCATCATTTAAAGAATCTGTCGTCTTTGGGAAAGAAAAAAAATTGGTGCTGTAGTTTTCACCTAATAGACAAAGAGAGTAGGAGGGGTGCGCTAAAAAAGGGAAAAAAAAAAGTTCACATACAGCAGAATGTATACAAATTGCATGGAGAAATGTGATTTTTACTTTATACAGGCAGAATCATTTTTATCATTAACTAATCTTTGAGTTGTGGCCAAGGCAGGATGGCACCAAATCACTTTGTTTCATATACAGTATATGTATTCATCTTCTGGCTGGCCCAGAGGCTTTCCACTTCTCCACTGTCAGCACTAGTGGAAAGTCCTTTTTCCTGTACTGAATGGCGCAAGCATAGTGTCAGCGCCGTTCAGTGCAGTAGTGCTCAGGAACAGCAAGAAGGAAAGCCATCAGAAATTTTGGGTCCCCTTAAACCGCTTTAGACCTGACACCCCCAGCCTGACCACTAGCATTCCCCAAGGCTTGCCCAGTGGCCTTTCTACCACATCTGCCCACTGGCCATCTCACAGAGCCCTTCAGTTCACTCACTTTTAAGTTAATGCTCTTACAACTTAATATATGAAAATGAAAAGTGTACAAAGTGATACACTTTGGTCAGTAATCAGTCATCAGTGCTTTCAAGATCTAACAGTAAGGAATTATATTTTAGCCAAAAAATATGAAGCATGTCACCATGACAAAGTAGATTCTTTTGAGCAGGACCCTACATTAGCACTAACTGCACTACTTTTTCAAAGAGACATCCCTATATATTCAGAAAAGAGACATCTCAATCCAGCAAAGAGACATCCACATACAGTGCTAAACATAAATGATTACACCCCTTTAGAAAAGTAACATTTTAATCAATATTGCAATGAACACAAGAAAAATGTCCAACGTTTTGACAAAACTAATTTTTATAGAACATTTGTTTAGCTCATTACATGAAAGTAAGGTTAATAATATAACTTATATTACAAATCTTCAGTTTTACTAAATTAGTTGATGCAAAAATGAATACACCCCTCAAAAAAGCTACTAAATCTAGTATTGTGTATGACCTCCATGATTTCTAAGGACAGCACCAAGTCTTCAAGGCATGGAATGAACAAGTTGAAGACATATTGCAACATCTATCTTTTTCCATTCTTCAAGAACAACCTCTTTTAGAGCCTGGATGCTGGATGGAGAGTGATGCTCAACTTTTCTCTTCAGAATTCCCCATAGGTGTTCAATTGGTTTCAGCTCAGGAGACATACTTGGCCACTGAATCACTTTCAATCTGTTCTTCTTCACAAATGCAACAATGGCCTTACATGTGTGTTTTGGATCATTGTCATGTTGGAAAAGGGCACAGAGTGATGGTAGCATCTTCTCCTTCAATATAGAGCAGTACATCTGTGAATTCATGATACCATCAATAAAATACAGCTCCCCAACACCAGCAGCATTCATGCAGCCCCACAGAAGGACACTGCCACCATAATGTTGTTTCACTGTAGGCACCATGCATTTTTCTTTGTACTCCTCACCTTTGTGAAGCCATACAGTTTTGAAGCCATCAGTTCCAAAAACATTTATCTTGGTCTTATCACTCCAGAATACAGAGTCCCAGTAGTCTTCTTCTTTTTCAGCATGGGCCTTGCAAATTCTTGGCAGCCTTTTAAGTGCATGGGCTTTAGGAATGACTTCCTTCATGGATTACAACCATGCATGCCATTACTCTGCAATGTACGCCGTATTGTGTCACATGGGTACAAAATGGGTCGTTCTCAGGAGCTCAGTGAATTCAAGCATGGTACTGTGAGCCACCTTGCAATAAGTCTATCCATAAAATTTCCTTGCAACTAAATATTCCACAGTCAACTGTTAGTGGTATTATAACAAAGTGGAATCAACTGGAAACAACAGCAATGTAAAATGAGAGTGGGGTCAGCACATGCTAAAGTGCACAGTGTTCAGAAGTTGCCAACTGTCTTCAGAGTCAATAGCTAAAAGACCTCTAAACTTTGTGTGGCCTTAAGATTAGCACAACAGTGCATAGAGAGCTTCATGGAATGGGTTTCCATGGCCGAGCTGCTGCATCCAAGCCTTACATCACCAAGTGCAATTCAAAGCGTTGGATGCCGTGGTGTAAAGCATGCTGCCACTAGACTCTAGAGCAGTGGAGACGTGTTCTCTGGAGTGATGAACCATGCTTCTCTGTCTGGCAATCCGATGGATGTGTCTGGGTTTGACAGTTGCCAGGAGAACAGTACTTGCCTGACTGCATTGTGCCAAGTGTAAAGTTTGGTGGAGGGGGGATTATGGTGTGTGGTTGTTTTTCAGGTGTTGGGCTTGGCCCTTAGTTCCAGTGAAGGGAATTCTTAAGGTGTCAGCATACCAAGACATTTTGGACAATTTCATGCTCCAAACTTTGTGGGAACAGTTTGGGATGGCCCCTGGCTGTTCCAACATGACTGCGTACCAGTGCACAAAGCAAGGTCCATAAAGACATGGATAAACGAGTTTGGGGTGGAGGAACTTGACTGGCCTGCACAGAGTCCTGACCTCAACCTGATAGAACACCTTTGGGATAAATTAGAGCTGAAACTGCAAGCCAGGCCTTCTCGTCCGTCATGAATGCCTGACCTCACAAATCTCACAAATGCTCTTCTGGAAGAATGGTCAAACCTTCCCATAGGCACACTCCTAAACCTTGTGGACAGCCTTCCCAGAAAAGCTGAAGCTGTTATAGCTGCACAGGGTGGGCCAACTCAATATTGAACCCTACAGACTAGGACTAGGAAGCCATTAAAGTTCCTGCGCGTGTAAAGGCAGGCGTCCCAATACTTTTGGCAATATAGTGTGTATATATATATGTATATATATATATATATTCATCATAATGATTTATATATATGATCTGTTCTCTGTACAGTATTAACATACAGAGATCTGAGCAGCCTAGAAGAGATACACTTTGGGCCATCCCTGCATTTACCTACAAAAAAAAAAATGTGGATATGTGACCGAACCCTCACTTTAATATAGAAAATATTACTCCCCAAGCTTTCACATTCCTTTTTTTCTCTTAGCAGGAGTATATGGGGAATAAATTAGACTTCAACAGTATAATTCTGCAGTGCTCTAGATTAGAACTCCCGGCAGCAATGCTGGCTGTGAGACAGCGTGAATAGATTGCTGAGAATCAGGGGCTTCTGACAGACTCAATTAGCTGCACCTGTAGGCAATTATTTGATCACCTCTCCTGCTACTGTGTGCTAGTCTATTGATTTTGTAGTATTGTCTGGTCCTCTGTCCTCATTATTTACTTGTTTATGACCTTCAAGATGTCCTAGGTGACTTATCCTGGGACCACCAGCTGTCTCATGATGTCTGGACAGAGTTCATACCATGTAATAATTTCTGAGGCTTATTACCTAGACTGACCCCATTCCTAGAACTGACCCAAGTCTAAATCGGTATTTGTCATGTTCCACACTGTAGATCTGTTTCTTATTAGGCATTATCTTCATTGGATTTGCATGACAGGTTTGTGTAGGTGTGATACTATAAAAAGTCAATTCAAGACATTCCGTTGTTGGGTTTTCTGCCTCTATGAAGAGCCTCTATGAATGTGTTAAAGCTGAACACAAGGCTGATAGAAAAAAACAACAATTATTGCAGTTATGTATTTGATGAAAACAATAATTAAATGTATATGCATGCAGGACTCAGAATGGGACTGGTGGCACAAGGAGTTGTGCTGTGGGATACAATTAGGGACACAACTGGGAGAATTAATTAAAGCACTATTAACAGGTTTGTGATGCTGTCACCCTTTAAAATGGCCTGCAACAGATTCAAAATTGCCTGCCACCCATTTTGGTAACTTTACCGACATGTGCAGCAGATTCAAGTAGTTCAAATAGTTCCTAATAGTGCCACTTTGTAATGCATCAAATTA